TCCAGAGATCTTTGCTTGGGTATTACTATTGTCTTATACATCTCTTTGAATGACGGCACACAAGTTTTTTTATCATATTTATATCTGGAGAGGTATTCTATTAATTTATCTACAAAACCTTTTTTTTTTTTTTTTTTTTTTTTTATAATTGCCAAGGTTTTCTGTCTCTGTTTTTGGTTATTCTTTTACCTATATTCAAATTATTCCTAATTTACAATGTTGTATTCCAATTACTCAATAACATTACAATATCTTGCTTCTTTTTTGAGATTCTTTCTTATGAACCATAGCAATGTTCATATGTCTGAAACTAAAAAAATAAATATCAATGAGTTTTAGATTTTTTTTTTCTTACAATATAATGAACAAATCTAGAGTTGCATAATAAAATCTCGCACAAGCTGAAATTTATGTGATATATTTATCATATAAATATATACTAAAAATGTTAATGAAATTGGTTGGCTAATGTTTTTATTTTTTTTATTTTTTCAAGCAAACATTGATTTACACAACATAAGATTTTATTATGTATACTTAGTTTAGTCAATTACTGGACTGAAATAAAAGTTTAATTACTTCTGAATATTTTGTATACTTTTGTACATTCTGAAATACAATTGCTTGAATGACTTAAATCCCAGGAAAATAAACTTTGAAAAAACACTATTTTTCTGTTTGATATTCCACTTTTAGTAGATTTGAAAGTAAGCAGACAGATTGTGATATCTTTTGAAACCAATTCATTTTTCTGTTCAAAGCAAAGAAATATTTGAAAGAAAATATTTACTAACTGTAACAGAGAATTGGGTCAGCCTGATAAAAGACTGCAAATTGGTTGTATGTGGTGCTGTAAGCATCAGGAGTTGTGTCCTTTTCCATAATGGGCTGTTGAGAGAAAACCTTCTACTTAGAGTAGGTGGCACTGACTACTATTTGCATGTGAACGATACTGGGCAAGTATTAGCCAATAGTCAGTGTGAGTCTGGAACTGGGAGAGCTATATAACACCAGTTTTTTTCTCGGTCAACAGAGGTGCTCTCAACACATGGATGTGCAAAAACCAGACACGACGAGCACACTAACTTAATTGAGATTTTAATCTAGCATCCTCATTGTCATTATGTAGATAGCAAATCCATTATCGTCCCAGCCTGTCATTGCCTAAAGACTTTGAAATGTAACTGTTTATTTATTGTCTTTCTTCATATCAAACTATCATTATTCCCACAAATGCATCTATCAATATATCTATGTTCTGTTTGCATATTTCCTCCTCGTAATACCACTTGTCATTGCAATTGGATTTTCTTTAACTATTTCCTTGTTCTCCACTTCCTCCTCTTTGTCACTGTGCATTTACCCGTCTCTCATCTATAGCATTCTTTTTTTTTTTCTTTAAAGCTTGTCTTACGTTTTTTTCTTTCTCTCTTATGTTGATTTTATACCTCTCATTATTTTTATGCTAAACTATTATTTATCTTTTTTTTATTCTTTTTCTATTTAATCCATTTCTCTCTCTCTCTCTCTCTCTCTCTCTCTCTCTCTCTCTGGCATTACCTTTTGCAACTCTCTCTTTTCACTTCTTTCATGATAGCACATCTTTGGTCTTAAATATTTTTCTTCCATTCACCTCTCTATTGCCATCTTCTGTTCTTTGTCAATCTTCATTGAATATGTCTCCTTGTCTTAATAAACATCCCCATTATACATTGCTAAGCACTCTTTGTTAGATTTTTTCTATTCACTATGATGTTGTCTACTATGATAAAATGATTTATCAGAGACGAGGCTGTCTTTGTTGACTGTATTCTTATGTCTACCTGTTGATCTGCATCTCTTGTGCATTCTTCCCTCAAGAGGTTTCTAGCTAAACAGAATAATGTCCACTATTATGCAAGCATTATTCTGTGTCTTCCATATGAACACCTTTTTTAATTTGCTTAAGTAGATAGATGCTTGCAAAGAAGGAGAGTAAGGAGGACAAGTGTCGAGTTGACTTGATGCATAAAATCTAGATAAGGTTTTGAGTGATAGCTCATGGCATTAAAAATTACAAGATCTTACATTCAATTTCCAACAATTAGTAAAAGAATGAAGAGATTGGTGACCATCAAATGTTGACTGCATTCTGAATTCATGTTTATTAGAATTGGACAATATTATAATAAGTAGGCATTGAATAAGTGACTCTAAAAGAACATAGTGTACTTTGCATAAATGGGTGACTCTTAGATAGGTAGCTTCAATAATCTGCTGAAAAAACAGTACAGCATGATGAAAAAGGCCCCAAACTTGATAAAAACGAAGTTTTATTGTCAAAATGGTTGTTATTATTAAGAGGAAAGACCAAAGTATTTTTTTTATTATTTCTTCTGTGATTGTACGCTACTCTTAGAGAATAGATTGTACTTGCATAAAAGTCTGTAAGCATTAAAATTAAATATTTTAACAACTATATATAATTGTATGAAATAGATGTGATCTGAGCAATAAAGATTTTGTTTTTAATTTGGACAGATAAAAATATAACAAAGTTTATACTTTTTTTTTCCAAACAAATGAATTTTCATTAGAAAGCAAGTTAGCTTTTTATAAAGTCTCATTTTCTGTCTATATTTCTAAGATAAGGATTGTACCTCATTTTCTGTTTTGTAACTTCAGAGATGTTTTACATTTCCTGATTTATTGTTTCTGAATTTTGTAAACAGCTTAAAGGGCTACACCAAATATTTAAGAACTTATTTTTTTACAATTTAGAAATATTTGACTTTTATAGAACGCTTTTTTGCAAAAGTAATAAATAAAAAAAAATTAAAAAAAATGAACCCAAATTCATTCTACTTATTTAACTGAAACACCATGTTTTTTGTCAACTGTTGTTTTCTTTTTATATTATGCAAATATCCAAATATCTTTTTCAGTATTTTTTAGAGATTTAAACATTGTTATATATTCTTTATTTTCATAGAATCTTTTTATTCTTGGTAGTGAATATCATGACATATGCTAAATGGCTAACATTACTTTTTGTCTCTTTTCAGTTTCTATCCAAACTCATCATTTGTTACATTTTACTCTAAAGAACAAAATTAATATCTTCTATAGAATGTTCATTTTTACTTGTTTTGCAATTTTCACATAATAGGAAGCTCTTTAAATTACAATAAACAATTTTATTAATATCTTTGGTAATGTTAAATAACATTTGATTTTGTCTATTTTTCTTCTCAAAAAATTTAGATATAAAAGATGTTTTATTTTATTTTTTTATAAATTTCTGACACTTCAACCTGTTTGAATGATTGTCCTCATCTTGTTTTAGTCATAATGTTTTGATTATTGTATGTGTTATAAAATAAAATAAGACATATCTCGGCTGATTTACAGGCAAATACTCAAGAGCGAGAGCCAGATGTGAACGGGACAAAGCCCCATCACAAAATGATCATTATCTTCGTTTACAAATGTTCCCGACACACGTGTTCCAGTTGAAAAATAAAATAATATTTAAAGTGTTCTATTTTTCGTCCAATAAAAATGCCTCCCTCCTAATTATACTTGCTTCATTTTTCGAGCCTGTTAAGCCATAAAAAAACGCTATAAAAGGGATCACGCGGAAGTTCAACGGGCAGTCCACAGGTGCCCAGGGTAGAGACAGCAGGGGAGCATCAACCATCATCAACATGTGTGAACTACTATGAGAGATCGACCTAGATCCGAAGCCGGCTTATAAACTTTACCACAAGGTAGCTGTCCCAAACCCTCACGTTCCTGTTGAAATAAACCACGTAAATCTATTTCCGCTGTTGTCGTATTTCTTTCTTGCAACCATACGCTTGTCTATAACATATAGCTTCTTTTTTTTTCTTTCTTTTCACATATGTCATCTTCAGTAAATTAGTAATTTTTCATAGTCCATTATTCATTCCATAAATGTGGCTTGTTCTCATTCCATTGGTTATGGCAAACATCTGAAATGCACGACAATGACCAAAATTTCTTATCACAGAAAATAAAACAGAAATAATGTGAACTTAAGAATTTCTATTAAAGAAATATTTAAGTTTCTTGCATCTTTTTACATTTTTTCTTTGCACTTATTTTTATTACAACTTGAGATATCTGAAAGATAGAAATTATTTCTCTAATTTTTATTTATTTTTTTTTTTCTGGAAATCTTTTTTGGAGTGATATGAATTGTTTTACAAAGAACCTTTTATTTTATTTATTTTATTTTTTTTTTTAAATGACTGCATTTGTTCTTGTTTATTGTATTTTTAGATAAATTCCTCAAATAATGATGTGATTGGTTTACCAGATTTTGCTTATGTTTAAGATAAATAAAATATTAAAAACAAAGAAACCTTTAATCATAATACAAGGAATATTTCATATTGTTAGTTAAATTCTTCTTTGAATAAAAACTAAAGCTAGTATGAGTAATGTTGTTACATGTCTTTTCATGACATAAGCAATAATGACCCATCACAGCTTTTTTAAATCATTTCACCCCAAGCAAGGCAATAATGCTGCTAGGATGCAAGTGGGTTACTGGAAGTGAAAAAGAATGAGAAGACTTTAATAAGGAGAAAGGACAATAAAAAAACAGTATTCAGGAAGACAGAGGATGGTGATTGGTATTGCACTTAAGTTTTTAAAGATTGTGGATTGCAGCGAAGCAAAAAATTGGAATGGAATTCCACAGGCTTTTCTTTAATATCTATAAATTTTATATTGCATGAATATTCTAGTGTTGTGATTTCCCATTGCTGTTTCCTTGGTTTTGAATTCAGTTGTTTTTTTCTTAGACTGGCTAGATTCCATTCTCTCCTGATATTTAACTCATTATTACTTGAAGGGAAGAGATATATCCACACTTGAATTTTAAATCACAGCTGGAATTTAAACTTGTTTTTCTGATTTTATCTTCTTACTCTTAACTGCACCTCAGGTTATAAACTATTATTTGTTTTATACAATGTTTTTTTTTGCTTCAGTTTAATCTGGTGTTTCGAGCCTTCCTTGTTGACAGCAGTTGCTCTCCTGGGAATGACTTTGAGCCTTGTTGACTTTTTGGTTCCTCTGCTGTCTTCTTTTTATGGGCCTGAATCCTGGTAAGTAGATCCCTCACCTTTTTGTTGTTTTTTTGTTTTTGTTGTTTTTTTGTTTGTTTTTCCTCCACCATTAAGAGGCCATCACAAGCCTCTCTTAATGGCATAAAGTTGGGTAATCCACTTATTTTATACAATAAACATGAACTGTCATTATAATGAAACCTTGATTTACAGTCACTAATATCTAAACTTTTTATTTCATTCAATTTCTTTATTTTCAGGATAGTGTAATATTCATTGTAAATCTTACACAAAATTCTGTATATGACTGTTTCTTGGCTCTGCAATGAGCTCTATGGCCATCCAAAATAGGCCTTCTTACCATTGTTGATACTAATCCTAAAAATGTTTTTCTTTTTACTCACTTAACATATTTGTTTGATTTTGATTTATTTGTCATGTGTGTGTGTGTGTGTGTGTGTGTGTGTGTTTTCTTGTTTTTATTTTTAAATTCAGATTTGCATGTCCTAATGTCATATAGGAAGAAAATGAGTAACTCCCAACACTGAGGTTCAAGCATGACACTCTGGAGTTTTCTGCCAGGTGTATAAATAGCGGTGTCAGGCTACTGACTGTAGTGATTGAGTGGAACTATCCAGTTGAATTAGTGTGAATTATTGTGTGTCTATGATTTGGGGTTTAATTTAGAATTTACCAGACTAACAAGGTATTCACTGAAATGGTTAATTATTTTGGTTTACTTTTACTTCTTTGTCTTTAGGTATTTATTTGCAGTTGTAATTAAATACTGTTTTATCTTAACATTGAAGTCTTGAGTTATACTTAATTATTAATGGCCACCGTACAGCACAAAACCTAACCAAAACTGTATATAAAACTGTAAGCAATCTATGGGAATTTTTATGGTTTAATAACTTCCTTGTTTTTCCCCCTGGATTTCATAGTGAAATTTCTGGGTTTTTTTTTTTTGTTTGTTTTTTTTTTTACTTGATTTGATATATACTGGCCAATTAAGTGGTTTGGCTATGGAATGAGATCACATTCCAATACTATCTTGCAAAACCTATATTGGTGTTATGGAACATCTGCTTAAGCAGTGGTTATAAATTACAGAAATTCTTTCATTAGAGAGAGAGAGAGAGAAAAAAACTAAAAATAATACCACTCTATTAAAATAGGAAACTAGAGGAAACAAAATGTCTATCCACTCAGTCATTGGAATATAGTTCAATTAAAAAAAGTGGCCACATTTTGTAGAATATGCCTAGAAAAAAACTTGCTATTACTGCTTCCTCTGGACAACAAAACTTACTTAATAAAAAAAATGGGAAATTGTGACCGTAGACTTGCATAAGAAAAAAAATATCTTCTGGCACACATGGCACCTGATAAGCAAATATTCATAGGTGAGTCAACAATGTCTAAAAAAAAAAAAATCCTGTAATATAGATTGGAAGTAATTTTATATTTGTTCCCCTACCTGAAGAGTCATTTTTTTACTTTTTCTTTGCAAATTTATTTTCACTCTGCTCTTAGTGTTGAGCACTTTTATTGACTACCATTCGATTTTGAAATCCTGTATTTATATGAATTTTGAAATATTTGTTACTAATTCTCTCTCTCACTCACTGATTACTTTATTAGGCATACTCTTCTAGTAGCAGGTTTGACCCTTTTTTCCCCTCTTAGAACCATCTCAATTTTTCTTGGCATGAATTTGTCAATGTTCTGCGAGTACTCTTTTAAAATTTGGTCCATGCTGTTATTGTAACACCACTGTTGGCCCAAGACAGTGGTAACCAAATATGAAACCCCAACTCATCACTCCCTGAGTTCCTTCAGACTACTATGGATGCCATTTAGCTGACTCTTCACTCGTTAGCACATAACTCGTTGTTAATGGTATCATGGTGGTATGTACAATTCCACTTGACCTAGCTGGTGTTTGTTCATGACCATTCACTCTTCTGCCATGTTATATTTTCTGTAATCTGAGAGGGTGAGAAGATTGTTGATGAAGCAAACTGAAGTGATGCTGGAGCTACACAAAAAAAAACAAGAATCCTTTGGAATAAAGAATTAACTCAGGTTAAAAATGTAACAACAATTTGGTTTATATATGATTTATTGTAGACCTCAGTTTTAACCCTTCCCACTTGTTGCTATAATCAAATGACACTGGGATCCCCATCAGAGTCGGCATCTTGTTTTAGTAGTATCTTTAATTTTTAAATTCTTGTCTTCAGGGCTGGTACAAGGTTTTGGTCAGGAGGTATCAGCAAATAATGTTGATAGCAGTAGTGTAGGGACACTCTAAATTATCCAAATCTCTGGCTTATATGGAGTCTTGCATCTGGAAGGGGTGGAGTTGACTAGGGTTTGGGTTCAGTTGTCTTCTATCCTAAGCATCAACCTTTTTTAAATTTCCATATATAAAAATACATTTACTCAGGTCGTTTTCCAAATTTGGGTTTGTCCAGATGCCCATTAACACCAACTCCTTTCACACCTCAGCTAGGGTTGGTGTGACAGATCCAATTTTACAGATGGCCTAGCAAAAACAAAAGGGATTTTCAGTCATTAATCTTTTTTTATTAGCTTGTCCCATGCTGTGATTTCTTGATTGATCAGACCACTCACGAATTGGAAAAGGAAAGAAAAATTATTTCCACTCTTCTTAAAAGGAAAGTTTATCTTTTCTCTCTCTGCATTTTTTTTTTTTTTTTACAATCAACAGATCACACAGCATTTTTTTGGTCCATGATCACTTCAAAATAGTAATTCATTTTTCTTATCACTTGTATCCAAAGGAATCCAAATTAATGTGTGGATATAAAATTTTTCTCTGGATGAATGTCACAGAAATTATAAGGACGAACATGTCAAGTTGGTCTCTATTTTTGTGGGGACACTTGTTTTTTGGGTGGATGATTCAAAACAGATGGCTTTTCCTGTTCCTTTTGTTCAAAAGAATCATAAATGTTATTTTGGTGATCAAACTGGTGTCTTTTATGAACAATATGTTTTTATTTTATCTGACATCTTTGTGGATACCTTAATGGTCTCTTTCTTATTGGTGAGAAGTGGAGAAGGACGGGTAGTCTTGGTTTTGCTCAAACTTACTGAATTCTGTCTAATTAAACTTGAGTTCGATTTTTCTTGAAATTATTTCAAAACATTATTTTTCAACACATTTTGTTTTTAATTTTCTTAACGTTTAAGTTCATCTTCCTGTGAATTTCAACAATTACCATCCAGTTAGTAGACTCTTTCCCCTTCCTTATTTCTATCTTTCTCTTTTTGTTTGATCAACTTCCAGAAATCTCAGTGTTACATTATGGCATTTTACAATTCTTCTGGATTGGTTGGCTGCACATCCAGGATTCAAATCTCCTTTTCCACCACACCCTGAAGGTGCTCAATTGGATTGAGATCTAATGACCATGAAGGCCACTTGTACATAGAAAATATATTTCTATGTTCCATTAACCAATCTGCCACTATTTTGTACTGGTGAAATGGGGTGTTGTCCTATTGGAACAGGCCACCAGAGGATAGCTTCACCATAAATATAAATTGAAGCATGTAGTCAGTCACAATACCTAGGTAGGCTGTAGCATGTAAACTACATTTTTTGGTACCAAAAGTCTCAATGTATTCCAAGAAAATATTCTCCATATCATCGCACAACCAACAACAGCCTGAAATGTTGACACAAGGCAGAATGAATCTATACTTTCATGTTCTTTATACTAAATTCTGACTCCTACTATCCCAATGTTGCAGCAGAAATTGACTCATCAGACCAGGGAATGTTTTTTCCCATTTTTGACTTCCTTAGAGACTACTAGCTTCTGGTTTCTTATCTGACATGAGTGGCACTGAGTATAGTCTTCTGCAGCTATAGTCAGTATACAACAAGGTTCTACTGCTGTAGCCCATCTACTACAAGGTTCTAAACGGTCTGTGTTCAGAGATGTTCTTTTGTATATTTTCATTGTAAAGACTGGCTAATTGAGCTACTGTTTCTTTTCTATGAGCTTGAACTAGTCCTTTTTCATCAACAAGGGGTTCCTGCCTATAGAAATGCCACTCACTGGGGTTATTTTCTTTTTATGACCATTTTCTGTAAACCCTAGAGATGGTAGTGTGTGAAAATCCTAGTAGATGAGGAATTTTTTAGATGCTCAAATCTAGCACCAATGACCACAGCATGTTCAAAGTTACTTATGTCCTCTTTCTTTCCTATATTAATGCATGCAATGAAATTCTATACCATGGACATGTTTAAATATCTATATCCATTAAATTGCTTCTATTTCATTGGTTGATTAGAAATTTGCATAAAACTGCATTTGTTAAAGTGTACTTAAATAGCATTTCAGTTTTGTGACCATTTTTGGCTGTTTATTTCCTTTTTCTTTTCCATGGGATCTTTTATCTCATGCAACTAATAAAGAAGTAGAAATCTTTAAATGTAAGTTTGTTTTTTTTTTTTTTTTTTTTTTTTAACTAGGGATCTTCAAACTATTGCTTGTGGGGCACAGAAGATTTTCTTTTCTATGGAATTGTCACATTTCTCTTTGGCTCTCAATCATATCATGCTAATTATTAACAAATAAACAAACATCCAAATAAAACTTGTCTATTCATTTATAAAACAGATTTTTTTTTCCTTTTCTGGTGGATGTCTTAAGATACATGATGTGCCTTTATACTCATATATTGAGTACTCCTACTGCTAAAATCTAAGTGATTGTGTTGAGAATTTTTATAGGGAAGAGAAGCGTTTGAGGCCTCATAGTTTCTAATGAAGGATATTTATTTCATAATTATTTTCTGTACTATCCTAAATTTGGTAGCCTTTCATATTGCTACTTAATAATCTCGTTGGTTAAATTCTCTCTTGCACCACCAAATTGACATCCAGTCTTGGCCGATCAAAAATTCCCAGTTGTTGATTAGTCAATTATACACGTGTAAGCGATCATGTATCTTTCGATACATGACTGATGGGGCAGATTTTTTCCTACGGTAGG